TGAATTTAATGATGAAGGACTTTTGACTTCTGAAATTTTGTAGATTACTGGCAGTGAAGAGGGGAAAAGAAACATTTATCTTAAGAGAAGGTGACTGTCAAAACAACTCATTTTCTTTCAGAAAAGTACATAGACATACAGAGAGTTCATCTGTAGTCTGAGATAGAAGATGCTCATACCAGTTGGGCTCAGCTACAGTTTCTGAAGGCAGAAAGCTTTTTCATGCCTTCTGTCCAATAGTGTAATTAGAAAAATTTTCATTTATAGAAGTTATTTTTCTAGGCTTTGTATTTATGAATGGGCACCTGTTAGTTTTGAAAGACTTGTAGAAAATGTTTCCCACTTACAGCTGACTTGTGACTGCTCACTTACAAGGTCATCTGCAGTGGCCTGGCAATGCATGCCTACTGAGTTTTAAAGCAGACCTTAAAGCAAAAGAAGCTCCTTATAAATGGAGAGTTTTCCCTTTCTTATTCCTGTATGACTAAAATTGCTGAAATTCCAGCGATTTTAGATAATTGACTTTTTTTTATTCTTACCTCCAAGAGAAAGTCTACAAAAAGAGCTCAAAATTAAGGCCTTTATTTTATAATCCAAGCATGCTGTTAATTAAAAATCTTTGGCATCAAAACATTAATTTCTAAAGACTTCTTGTTTATTCACAAATAAACTTCAGTATGCCATCTGTTTCTATCACGTCATTGTAGTCACAAGTGTAGATGTTGACAGCTTCTTTCCAATTCTTTTGGCAAAAGTATCCAAAGATATTTGCACTTGAGCTGGCTTATCCCAAAGTGCTGCTCTATTCATGCACAGCTGTGAACCCTGCATGGGCCAGAACCTGTGGAACAAATGTTTTATCACCAGAAATTTCAATGCCTGATACATTCTCTGGGGAGAGGCCAGGGCCTGAAGAAATTTTGAGGATTTCTGAGCACACGGGACATTTAAAGCTATGAGATAAGATTGATTCATTTGTTCATTTAAGAAAATGAATGAGTGGTTGTCGTCAGGTTTTTTTTTTTAATATGTTTTGGTTGTAGGTGGACATAATACCTTTATTTTATTTATTTATTCTTATGTGGTGCTGAGGATTGAACCCAGTGCCTCACCGTGCCAGGCAAGCGCTTGGCCAATGAGCCGCAGCCCGGCCCTCGGGTGTTGTTTTAGTCCCAGATGATACAATGAACTAGTAAATGGCAAGTCCCCAGTCTCTGCCTCTTGAGGCAGCACACAAGGACGTGACAGGCAGCACGTTAAACAGAAGTGATGCTGTGAAGGAAAACAAAGCAAGGGGGACAGAGGCCCCATCTGAAGGGAGTCAGAGGGGTCCTCACTGGGGGAGGGTGACAGGGAAGTATGCGAGGCACTAGCCACACAGCATCTGGGAGAGTCTTCTGGGCACTGGCAACAGCAAGCGTGGGCCTCCAGGTGGGAGCAGGCCTCATGTTAGGGAAGCAGTGCAAAGGCTCTGGGTCCTGTAGCCATCCAAAATGGGAAGCTATCGCTATGGGAAGGACTGAGTACAGGAGTGCAGTGAGCCGCCATATTGGGCACACACCTTCAGAAGGACAGGGATCTAGAAGGCTGGCAACTGTGGGCATCTGAATGTACTCTACTGGGTTTCTTTTTCTGTACTTAATAAGGTTTGGTTCTCTTTTTAGGACAAAATTCTGCCCAGCTTGTCTTGTATTCTTGGCTTACTGCTAGCTGACAGGAACTGGCTGCTAGAGCAACATACCTTGGAGGCTTTTACTCAGTTTGCTGAGGTAATTACTTATAATACGGACTTGTCAGTCATCACCAAAGAAAGTCCAAAAATTATTTACAGAGCTGCTCTGCACCTTAGTTGTAAAACTTCTGCTGGAGGAAATGACTCGTGTGCTCTACAGGATCTCAGATAAGGCCTAGAGAAGTGGGAGGTTCTGAAATCATTAGCGAGCCCTGGACAGGCCTTCACAGTGGCTTGACTAACTCGGACACTGTCTTCCAGACTGTTTTTGGGTTGAATGATGGTACATCTCATCCTGAACTGTCCTGAGCTGAAGAACCGAAACCTCCTAGTTTGGGTCCTAGGGAAGGTGACTCCTCCCCGGGCTGCTGCTCCTCTGGTGGCTGAGCAGAGGGGAAGTCTCAGCACTAGACGTGCACTGTGGCAATACAGCCGACTGTGAGCTTTGAATATCCCATAGCACTGTTTTCTTAAAGTTTTAATAAGGTAGCTCTTACAACTCATTTGTCTTTGCAAGTTGTTGAAATAATCTTAAAATTGATCTTGTTTATTAATCTTTTAATAGGGAACAAATCATGAAGAAATAGTTCCACAGTGTCTAAGTTCTGAAGAAACTAGAAACAAAGTTGTATCCTTTCTGGAGAAGGTACTTATTATGGAATTACCTTTTCTTTTCTGAAACTGTAATTATAACCAATTTAGCTTAAATTTTTCAGAATGCTCAGAGCAGTCCTAATCCAAAATACTCCGAAATCTAATACTTTTTGAGTGCCACAGTGGAAAACTCCATACTATAAAACTATTTCATACACAAAATCATTTAAAATCTTGCATAAAATTAACTTCAGGCTATAATGTTTAAAGTTCACATGAAATATAAATAAATGGATTTTGTTTTAGACTTGGGTCCCATCTCCAAAGTGTCTTAGTGCATGGGGGGGGGGGGCGGGGGGACTCCGAGACACTTCAGTTCCAAGCACTTAAAACAATTGAGAACATATTACAAGTGAGAGAAGTGAAACTCCTGAAGTCCCTCTGTAGTTTGGGACAGAGTGGCATTGATAGTCCAGGCAGCAAGATGACACGTGGGGGTCCCTTTGCTGTTACTAATCATAATTAGATGCAGCTAATTATATAGGCTCTGAGGATCTGTTATTGTAGCTTAAGTATAATTTAGGCTTTTGTTCAATGATTGAGGCCAAGATAGTGACATTATATTTAAGGCATTTTTACATTTAGAACCAAAATTTTGAATCATAGGGATCCCATGTTTGTATATACTTTGAAAACTTTAAGATGGTGCTATCACCAAGTTGTAATTTAAGGGATAGTTAGGAGTACTAATGGAAATAATTCTAAGGTCACAAATCCAAGAAAAATTATTCATAAGCACTTACTTTAATAGACTATATGTTTAATATACGTAAGTACACCTACCTGCATGTATGACATACTTCACGTATCTCACATTTGACACCTATCTTGTGTTACATCTAAGCTGTACTTTAAGTCCATGAACACATCTCTCTTGCCAGTCTGCTCCTGCTTAGCTTATTTTTTAAGGTTGGCAGACCACCGTTTTTTCTTGGAAAGAAGGCTATAGGGCAGAGAAAACACTGTAGAGGGGTTTTTAGCCACACCCCATGAGCCCACAGGTTAAGTGACTTGATCTCCTCATCACCTGAATATTACACCGTTTGCCGTCTAGTAGAGAATGCTAATCTGTTGCTGTTTCCTTGGCTCTTCATGGTCTTTGGCAGACTAGGTTTGTGGAGGAAACGGAAGCTGCCAAAGTGGAACGCGTGAAACAGGAAAAAGACATTTTCTGGGAACCCTTTGCTAACATGACCGCAGAAATAGCAAAGGGGTCGTCCTCAGAGGTATGAGCTGCTTTCCAGTGTGCGCCAAGAAGCTCTGTACTTATTATTAACTAATATAGCAAAGTAGTTTTGGTTCAGTGCTTTTCCTCATGTTGAATTTCAAATCAGATCTAGACATGTAAAATTCTCCTGTTTTATGGTAGTTGCTCTTTGGAAAGTCTCATGTATTCTGCCTGAAAGGTCACCAACACACTGAACAGGAAGGCTAGAGAAAACGACGTCTTAAACATCGCACCAAACACACCTTTCAATGGTAGTAACCGTGGGGGTCAGGGGTGGGGTGTTCACAAACTGTACCCAGAATGTAGTTGTTAAACCACAAAAGAAACCACTTGCCTTTTAAAGTGTTTAGACAGTCCCTGCCTCATTCATCAAACCAGTCTCTTTAATAACTTTGGGGGGTGTCTTAAGAATCACATTTACCTACTGAAAAGCAGAAAATTGACACTAGTGTTGATATTCAAAATATTGTTTTGGGCACTGTAAATACATTTGGAAGGATAAGCTATATAATAGGATCAGTGTTTTAGTCACAATTGTCACTAACAGTAGTTTTGGTGATAACTTGTCTGTAAGACATTTAACTTTTATCTCTGAAATTTCTGAAGTGCAATTATGTTAGTTGTAGAAATAGGACCCTTATGTATTCATTGGGACACTCCTCAGGAAGCTGTTGGCCCCACCCTTCATCCCTGTCCCTGTGCAATGTGTGATACTGTAGAAGTCTGATATTTTCTTAACGAGTTAAGTACAAGTGTTGGTGGGGGCGGGGGGACCCTAAGACAGACTTGGCTCTGTCTAAAGAATACTTGCTGGAATTACTGATCTGGGCAGCACTTCTCATCAGGAGCCCTTTGGGACAGGATCCTCATGTACACCCCCAACAAACCACGACACTTGTAGTAACTAACATCTTGAATCCTGCGACAAACCAAAGCATCTTCATGTAGCATTCCAGATAACCAGGTGGGGTGAAGGGCCCTCCTGTCCTTGTGATCAGTGACGAGGAGGGATTTTAGAATGGGCATTATGGTCTCACATTTCTCTCCTTTCCAGCCTTGTGCAAAAAGAGCCCGCCAGGAGGTCCCCCTGGAAGAAGAGCACAGGGAGGCACTGCGAGTAGCAGCAGGGGCCCTGCAGACAACAGAGTCCCTGCTGCAGAAGGCTCCTGCTCCAGCCTGGCTTCTAGAGGAAGTGGAGACACTGCAAGAAAGGATCTTGAAGGTGAAACGCATGCTCCAGGGTGAAACTTGAACGTCTGCATCCTCGGGAGACAGGACCAAGCCTGATCCTCTCTCAATTCCCAGGACATTTTGTAAATGAAAACACTGATTTAATTATGTCTGTACATTTTCTAGTACATATAAAACAGCTTTTGTAAAGATGAATCTAGTGAAAATAGTCTTTATTGACATGTAGAGAACAGGATTGTGGGGGATATTTCTCATTAAGAACTTTGGTACAACGTAATACACGTGAACAGTCAGTGACTGCCCCGGTCCACAAAGGGCCTTTTACTCAGGACTACTGTAAACAAATAAATAAGCTGCCTAAGGAGACCGTAGCAATTTAAATCATTTATAATTTATAGCTAAATTTTTTTAAGTTGTATTTTCATAATAGACTATTCTTCTCACTGTTCAAGAAATGGCACAAAATTAAGCTAACCAGTTTGGGTTTTTATATTTATCGTCTTGACTTCCAGGACTGTCCTGGAAGAGGCAGTCCGCTTGGCCTGGCCTCGCCCGCTTGCTCTTCACGGAAACTGGCCTCAGTCAAATGCACACGGGCTCCTCCTCCCAGGAACCTGTGCTGAGCCTCCCGACCACTCTGCGCGCGTCTAGTCAGCACTTGAGGTTGGTCTCACGTCAGTTGGCACAGACTGTGAAGAGAGCTCCCGGCATAGGAAGCACAGGCTGCAAAAGGGCTTTGTCCACACAGCCTGGTTTTGAGGTATTGATTTTTTTTAAAAGGAATCATTGCTCCTAAAGTTCAGCTCATACCTGTTGTCACCAGTTATTATCTTCCCAGTTCAGCTCCCCTTCTTCTCCCCAGCCTTCAGCCTCTGCCTGCAACAAAGCACACCAATAGCAACCCACTGAACAAATCATATCCACATGTGGAAACTTTTAAAGACCCAGCACTTGTTTTTTGATGCCAGAATATCGTGCTTCATGCTAAGTGAAAGCTGAAAAGCAAGACTGCTTAGGTTCCAGCACGGGAGAACCTCAGCCCTGGAAGAACTTTTCACAACCCTATAATCCAGTAGTAACACTACTTTTTGCTTAATCTTTTTTCCAAATAACAAGGTTATTCATGTGACAACCAGACCGCCTAAGACTGTGCCCAGGCACCTCCTCCTGGGGAAAAAAGAATGCTGTTCCTAGGAACCAACTTGCTTAGCTTGAACATTTTAACCACCATGTACAGTAATGTTTCTTTCCTTTCACTGGGAAAACGTGCTGGGTACTATGAACTGGGACCTGAGGGAAACCCCTTGATTTAATATTAATAGCAGCTTAATCCAAAAAATACTACTCACTTCATTCATTTCTGCTGCAGCAAATTTTGAGGAAAACTGCATCCCAGGCGAGACATCATCCGTTTCTGTCCTCAGTTCAGGTAAAATAAGAAACGTGGCTGAAGGCTTAATTTCTGGGATCATGTCTGCAAACCAGTCCAACTCAGGGTCTTTTGCTGGCTTCCTTTTCACTTGGATTGTAAACTCTTCTCCTAAGCCAAGTTCTGATGGAAGTTTAAGGGGCCTTTCTTGTGACAGCACTTTTGGTGGCTTGATTTTGTCCGGGTCACTCTGTGCTAAACTGGTCTTTTGGGGTGGGCTTGATTTCAAAGGTGTAGGTTCCTCAGTGAGGGGCAGTGAAGCAGGGATGGGCGTCTGCTCCCCTGAAGTCACAGGTACTGCAGCGGGGATCCCAACTCCCAGGTTTATTCCAGCCCCTCCACTTCTGGGCTCCTCGGCAGCAGCATCACAGGGTTCTGGAGGCCAGATCTGTGTGCCCATGGTTTGGTTCTCAGGCTCCGTAGGCTCATTCCAGTCAGGCCACTCCTCAGACTTCTCAGGGTCTGATGGGAAATTTTCACTGTCTCCTGAAGTACTTTTGACATCTGAGATTCCGTTCATGGGAAATTTAACAGACTGAGAAAACTGATCACCTGTGAGGATATGTACAAGAATTCTCACGAAATGGTAAGAACAGGCAATATGTTGGGGTGTGGGATTAGCATAATACGCTATAGCTCTGATCACTTGGACCTATCCATGCATACCAAACCAACAAGAGATCCTGCAGCAAGTAACACCAAAGATGCCATACAAATTACCCACTTCCTGTACAGTACTTACATACTATTAATTCAATGGAAGCATGTCATGTAATAAACTAGACAAGGATGAAATATTCCAAACACACTGCTTGCTTATCGGCATAATTGTCCATAAATAAGTATACAAATACCCTAAGCCAAGTCAAGATGGTAAATACATACACCTTGAACAAAGTGTGCTCAAATAAGTTTGCCTAACATGTTAACTTACAAGTATAGTTAGGGTGCTGAGAAACCGTAGGCAATGTGTCAACTCTGCTACCATTTTCCCAAACATTTTAACCACAGAACCCTTTCTTAGCATGCCCCTTAACATCTCTGGGTACCATCATTCTTGGTACAATTTGGAAGATGCACTGAGGCATCAAATCCCCAAATAAAGCATATGGTGCAAAAAAGAATACAAGTAATGTTGACTCGTTCTTCTTACCAGTAACCAGGAGGCAGCTAGAAACATACCCAAAAGTCTGGGGAGATAACATGAGATGACCACTAACCAAATTTTCACAATTTAAACTTAATTTTTTTACTCTCAAAAAACATTCATCCAAGCAATGGAAACTGTAAATTTAGTATTTCTACCTGTCTGTAAAAGAGTACTGTAGTAATCTTGCTGTATGGACTTCTTGCTGATGATGGGCATGTTGCCAGAAAGGAAGCACTTAGGGAATATGCTAGAAGGTTTCTCCAAGGCTGGCGAGATCTGACTGTGCTGGCTGCAGCCAACATGCAGAGGAGAATCTGAAGGTAAATAAAAACTCAAAAAATGAAAGGGCTAGTAAATTTCTTTTAGATCTATCACATTTGATGAGCAGCAGTTAAAGGAAATAGGTGTATTTAACTAACACAGATGGAAGAGAACACCTTCCAGGACACGATCCTGTCGTGGAACAGATAGCCTAACCCCTATGTGCACTCCACAATGCTGATGGAATAGAAGGGATTCCAGCATTAAACAAATACAACCTTTGGGATACCTAGCAAAAAAGTTACAGCCAATATGAATCTACTGAATACTACAAAAGTATATACTTAAAAATGGTTGAATTTTATGCTCTGAATATTTAACCCCAAACCAAGGGGTTGGAGGTGTTTCAAGAAAATGTCTTTTACAATTTACCAAAATGTTGTGATTGGACGTTGGTCAAAAAGATGGTAGCAAAACTTGGTTCAGTTCTTCCTCTGCCTTGAAGTGAGGGTGGGTGGAAGGGCCTGGGATGAACGACGACTGGCAAGCCCCCAGCTCCTTCACGCCCAGCCTGCAGCCTGCCCTCTGCTGGCACCACTGTCTCCTCTGTGGAAGTTCCTGTTTCCCTTGCCCAGTGTCCTCTGAGCAGGTCCATGGCTTCCTTTTAGAAAGAACGACTAACCTGTCGTCTGACCATGCAGGTACCGTCTAAGAGGTATCCCTAGACCTGTCTCCTCCTCAGCAGCCTCATCACTGCACAGAAGAGCTGCACTTGACTAAGCTGGGCACAAGGGCTGCTGCCAGGGCTCACTGGGTCTCATAATGAGGAGCCCAACTCAGTCACCAGGATTACACCTCTCTATCCTCTAGATTCTTATCTGGTACTGCTGTTCTGGTGTTTCATTAAGACTACACAATGCCACTATGTATGGTGTGTCAAAACGCATCCCTGTGTAACTACTTAGAACAAATAAAATTTAGAAAGATAAAAAGACTACACAGTAATCTGGATCATGTACCTGAATATTTCAGGAAACAGAATGTCAATAGTAGATAACTCCACCCTGTAAGACAGATGTGAGGAGTGGGAGCTCTCGCATAACCAGTGTGCAAACATGCCCCAAGATATCCCCAAGTCTTATCCTATGCCCGCAGCCCCTATGATGTAAAAATGAACCTCTCCTGTTTGATGTAATCTGTTAAAACAATTGGTAACACCACCAACTGAATTCAGTATGTACATTTCACAGCTGACAACGAGGCAAGAGCATCTCTGGCCTTGTCCCTGGCACCCCTTTAACCACAGCAACCCTGGTTTCATCAGCACTAAGAATAACTGAACTCCCCAAACTTCAGAAACCAATGTTGCTTTAAAGATTGGGTTGGCATCAATATTAGACAAAGGCCTACATGAAGCTCTTTGCTGCTAACCATCCCATGCTATCTACTGACAATCAGAATGGAGTTAGATACCAGGAATTTTATATTGTGATCGTGTATGGTGTGTCAAAACGCACTCGACCGTCATGTATAATTAGAATAAAAAATTTAAAAAATATAATAATTAAGACTACATAGTAGCTTGGATCATGTATCTGAATACTTCAGGATACAGAACGTCAACAGCTAGATAATTCCACCCTATTCAAGGTATACAAAGTAACAAGCAATGATGTTGTTGACACCAAGTTCTTTTAAGTATCTAAAAATCAACAGATTTTCACCCAAGAGATGAAAAAAAAATCAAAGGAACTAAAAAGTCTAGTATTAAAGAACTACTTCGATCTTCCTGAAAACTGATGTTGTCCACTAGAATGTAATATGCCTCCACCCCAGGGGTCTCCTGCTAAGACAACATTCTATTGCCGTGACACCCAAACTGCACGAAGACGCACACATCAGGGTGACTACTGTAGCACTCCTTATGGTGATCAAAGACCCAGAAACAGGGCTGGGGCTGGGGCTCAGTGTAGAGCGCTCCCCTCGCACGTGCAAGGCCCTGGGTTTGATCCTCAGCACCACATTAAAAATGAATAAATAAATTAAATAAAGTTAGAAAAAATGAAAAACAAAAACAGAAATAGATGCGCTATCCATGAGTCAGTAGGTGAGAGAGTGAATTAAATTCAATGAACTATTAGGCCAAGAATCATCCACACGGGTATGTGCTGACCTGGACACGAGTCCCTCCATGAAAGCAGGCTGTGGCCCTGTGTGTGGTGCTGTTTCGGTTCCCTCAGACGCCATGTAAATGGATGTGTACAATCCATCTATGTATGCCCCTGTGTAGGCTTCAAAAAAGATAGGAAAAGTAGATACCTCCACCCCTACAAGGACTCAGGAAAGGGAAACAACCTTTTCCTTATACTTCTTTATCATTTAACTGAATGTACCCTCCTGCTTTATTTGTGTAACATTGAAAATCCAATTAAAAAAAAAAAAGCTAGACTTTTCAATCATTCTTACCTTGTGGGGAAAGGTCAGCAGTTTTAGTAAAACTTGGGGCAGTACGCTTGAAGATCTTGGTTCTTTCTCCTCCCACAACCACTTCTGGTCCAAGGAGAGAGACTAGCACTGCGAGGCTATGAAGAGTAATTGACACAATGGAATCGCTGGTGTCACGCAGGCCCAGTAACACCTATGAGGCAATGAGGAAAGGAGTGTAGATGACCACAGAATCTGTCTTTCCTCTCTGTAGCCAAGCAACTGGGCTGCACTCAGAATGTGCTTGCTCGGATGAACCAGACATACTTGCACGCCTACAATCCCAGCAACTCAGGAAGCTGAGGCAGGAGGATTGCAAGTTTGAGGCCAGGCTTGGCAACTTAATGAGACCTAAAGGCTTAGTGAGAACCTGTCTCAAAACATCAAAAAAGGAGTGGAAATGTGGCTCAGTGGTTAAGCACCCCTGGCTTCAGTCCCCAGTGCCTCACCTGAAAAACTAAATAAAAATAAAATTAAAAAAAAGTTAAATAACATTAGAAACCAACACAAAATTACTCCATTAAATTGCTACAAAAGCAATTTTAGGTGTTAACTGTTCACCTCTGAACTCAACTCACTGAAGAACCTGACACTCAGGCTGGCCATGTGCTGCCAATCACACTCAGAACCACCCACCTTGGGCACTTCATAGTCCATTCCTGGTCCTTGCCTCTCTTCCCAGCTCTACACATCCAGGGGTGGAACCTTGGACATCTTTGTATGACATTATCTGTATGACACAGATAACACCTGCCCCCAAAATGAGCTAATATTTTTAATATTTATTTTTTAGTTGTAGTTGGACATAATACCTTCATTCATTTTTATGTGTTGCTGAGGACTGAACCTAGGGCCTCGCATGTGCTACGCGAGCACTTTACCACTGAGCCACAACCCTAGCCCCTCTTGCCTGGTAATTTAAGCTGGAATTTGGAGAAACTGGTTACCTCTGTGGTTAAAATGAGGAAAGTAACCTGGAAGTTACGGGACAACCAGACTTGGCCATATGCACCCCAGGACAATGAGAGCTGGTCTTCAGAGCATTTTCAAAAGTGAAAGATGCAAAAGGAAAGAAAGAGTGGGGCCCACACAGCGGGGAGTTCTGTGGCACTGGGTTCCACTTATGTAGCCCAACATCCTTTCACATTTAGTCCTTTCACTAAATTCCTTTTACTTTGGTTGGTTTAACATGGATTTTGGTTACTTGCAATCCAAAGCATCTTAACTAAGACAGTCATGTGCAGATAACAGGAGAGGTTTTGCCCTACAAGAGGAGGACCTGCAAAGCATCTTTGCTGACCAGACACAAGGCAGGTTCGACAGGCCGCCTGAGGGCATCAGCAGTGCTGGGTTCCAGCCCCAAGTCTGCAGCACAGGGGATCACAGGTTTCCAGCAGGACTAGCAAGACTGGGACTAGTGCCGACACACTGGGCACTTCCCCAGGCAGGCCGCAGAGCTGAACTAGAGCCTGTGTCTGAGCATCTGAGCGCAAGACTGGTGCTGGGATCACACAATCACCCAAGCCCCAGACCCATCCTCCCCACACCTCTCCATCCAGTGGGAACCAGAGTCCTGCCCCTCCACCTTCTGTGCCCTCCGTGTCTGCTACCACATTGCCCCCGTCCTGCCCTCTCTCAGATGACTATTCCAACAGCTTCCTAGCTCATCTCCCTTCACGGTCCACTTGCACCTGCTACCAAAGTGAACTCTCCAATGGCATCCCAGCCATTCTCCTGCAGCGGAAGCAGTGTTTCAGACATGAGAGCTTCTGTCGTCTTTTGCTTGCTGAACACCTGCTCACATTCCTACCACAGCCCAATCTAAGGCCTAGGACAAATCTATTCCAGAGCTAGAAATCTTCCAGACACCCTTTAGCTTCCAGCTACCTGCAGGTATGAACACAGGTCTAGGCTGTGGTAACCAAACTCCCCAGCGACCCACACTGAAGGACTTCTGTGACTCACTTTAACCAGGAGGATGTGGCATAAATGACTTCTGTTAGCCAAGAGCAGCCATGAAATAAGTCCCCCTTCCTTACTAGAAGAGCCATGTGGAAATGTCATACAGAGGGACAGGGCCTGTGACTGAGAGTTCGTACACTCAGAGAAAGGTCCAGCTTCCAGAGCCCCTGCTGGCCTAGCCTTCACCCTCCTCTCCCACGTCACAGACCATCCGGAGTGTGTCAGCCTGGGGGGCCCAGATGACTGAAGCCCGGTGGCTGACATCATGGGGATCTCTGGAGAGTCCTGTCAACCCAAAGAATCAAGAGGACTGATAAAATGAATTATCGCATTAAGGTACCATGTTTGGAGGTGCTGTGACACACAGCGACAGACAACTGAAACATCCTTCTTGCTTATCAGATCCTGGAACACGGAGAGTGTTAATCTCAGGAAAATTATTTGAGAGACACCATGGAATTGGTATCTTTAATTTTTTTTTAAGCCTTGTGCTGGGTTGAAGAGCACTCCTATAAATTCATAACTATATAGAATGTGATTTGTAAAGGAAGTTATAGTGGGTCAGGTGTCCTTCTGATAGATTGGTGACCTTTTCAGAAGGCAAATCTGGGACACAGAGCAGCTAGGTGACAACAGGCAGGATGGAGCAATGTGCCCGCAAGCCAACTGCTGAGCACTGCCAGGAGCACCTCAGCGCCCAAGGGGCAGAGGAGGCTCCTCGCCCACAGCCTGCAGAGGCTTGGTCCTGCCGGCAGCCTGGTTTCAGACTCTGGGACGAAGAGCCGGCTGCGCTGCTGTGGCTGTCACCACGCAGGCCGGGTGAGCTGTTACAGCAGCGACAGGGAATTGGTACAAGCCTGGATCCTTGGGTGGGCAGATAATAAGGTTCCCTGGTGGTGATAAGCAGTCTGAAAACCACCGACAGGAATACTCTCATGTTCTCTACACTAATAATAATTATGTTACAATAACTTGTGGACAATCACAGTTTATGTTCCCCAAATAATTCTTGTTCATTTTCTCCAAAAAATAAATTAGCAAACAATTAGTTTCTCGCACATTAAGACCAAGTATGAGCCAGGAGTGGTAGTGCACACAGGTGCACTATGAACACAGGTCTAGGCTGTGGTAACCAAACTCCCCAGCGACCCACACTGAAGGACTTCTGTGACTCACTTTAACCAGGAGGATGTGGCATAAATGACTTCTGTTAGCCAAGAGCAGCCATGAAATAAGTCCCCCTTCCTTACTAGAAGAGCCATGTGGAAATGTCATACAGAGGGACAGGGGCCTGTGACCTATAACCCTAGTTACTTGGGAGGATGAGGCAGGAAGAGCACAAGTACAAGGCCAGCCTTGGCAACTTAATGAGTCTGTCTCGAAAAAAAAGAAAAAGGCCCAGGGGTGTAGCTAGTGGTAGCAGTACAGCACCCTGGTTCAATCCCCAGTACAGCCCAACAGATGGGCCAACAGGCCACAGGCTCCAGGGCCTCCTGTGCGAGGGGAAGGGAACGCGGTTTTAATTCAGCCGTCAGCGTTCCAGGAGACTCTCGCACCAAGCTCTGCCTCCAAGGCTTTCTAAGCAGACACCACAAACCCTCTTTTTCCTTCCAGCCCCCAGATGAGCAGCACCCTTGGCCCGCTCCCTCTCACGGCCTGGGGAAGGCTCTGGCCTGGTCTCTGACCTGCGGCAGGACGACTTTCTTGAGCTGCTCCTGAGTGAAGTGCTCCACGTAGGCCTCGATGTGAGACAGCAGCACCAGCCGCACGTGCTCCTCATGAACCTGGAACAGCTGAAGCAGCACGGGAATCACCCGCGCCTGGAACAGGGCTGGCGAGAGCAAGCAAGGCGTGTCTCCCCGTGCATTATCTACCCCCAAAAGTGGAGGTTACAGGTGAGAAAGTAAATGGTTTCAGTGCAAAGTCCTGAACACAGTTCATAAACAGCCCAGAACACAGGTACTAAGTACTCTTCTCAATTCTTAGGCCCCACGCCAAAGAAGGGCTCTTCTATCGACCTAAAACCACTCCAGGTTAAACTGTGGAAATGTTTCTGAAAGAGTGGAGAGCACACTTCACAACACACAGAAAGCCTGTATTTCAACAGGATTCTGAATGAGCAACTTGATAAATTTATGTTCAATCAGTGAGGAATTTCTCATACTAGATCAGATTAGGGACATATCATATCATGGCGATTATATTTGCAAAATTAGAAGCAGTTAAGTGCTGCCAAGAGCTTTGGTCTAGTATGGCAGTGATGAGAACAGTTATCAAACAGGAATGCTGAGGACCATCGGGGGCCTTTCAGTATGCCCATGTCCTGACTCAGTCCGGCCCAGAGCAACAGGCAAACACCTGAGCGTTCAAAAGAAGCAATGAAGTGATTCAGAGGTTCACCCCTCTCTGAGATCCACCAAGTAACAGAATGAAAGAGCTAAGAAGGACAATCCAAGGTTTGAAGGAATGACACTGAATAAGAGATATAAAAAGATAAAACAACTTCCCACCACACTGGGTTTAACATAATTTGTTGAACTGAAATTGTTTAAGAAAATTAATTTTTAAAGCAGATCCTAGTTAAAAAATTCTGTAGTGTAAAATTCATGTTGCACTCCTAACCTGAGGTGTTACCCCCTTTAGTTCTATAAAGTTATAACGTTTCAAAGCAATAATTCCATTCCACATTCAGGAAAAAACCTGCAGCCAAGTAGTAAACTGAGCTCAGTGATTTTCAGCCTCCTCACTGAAAATGGAAAATAAACAGTTTGCTCTGGAAAGTCAAGGGTGCAGGCTTAAGTGACTCAGAGCAAACGCGACAGTTCTTTGCAGGTACACACCTTACCTTAGACCTTCCCCAAGGTGTCCCACCTGAGTCCCACGTGTCTACATCTGTAACTACCACCCATCAACCTGACCCTTGGGGAAGGTGCTCCATGTTTATCCTGTGGGCTTTGTATCCATAGAAGCCAACAAATGCTCTCTACTTTTAGAACCAACATTGAACTAAACCATTCAGTAATTTCACTCTGCTCCAAAATGGACCAACAGCCACAAAACTTATTGATCACCAAAACCACGCTGAAAAAGAATTCACCTTTTTTGGGGCCAAGCAGATGAGGAAGAAAACTCTTGACAGCTACCGGCTCTGCAAACACCAACTGATTCAGCAGAAGAGGTACCAACCTCGAAGCTATTAATTCCTCTGACAAGCAGCTGACTCTATCCAGCAGAAATCTGAGGACAAAAAAGCAAAGGAAAGCCTGGGAAATTAATGGCGACACTCTTTAAACTCTCCTGCACAGGTCAGCTCCTCGTGGCCTCCCTCCCACTTCTACCAAAGTGGTGCACTTCCAGAGGTAGCTGGGAAAGGTGAGGGGAGCGGGGCAGTCTCCAGGACCCTAAGACACATGTATTAAGTGTGACCATGGCCAGCCAGCTGCCACACTATTCACCAAGCTAGGGAGCTCTCGCAACAGATTACCCCTTATAATGAAGTGATAAGTGGCCAAAGTGTCCCCCAGACCCCCTGATAGCCAGAGGCTTCCTAGATACAGATACTTTCTCAGATTTAAAAAATGTAAGATATTCCATTATCTAAAGTTTTCAAAGTAAACAAAAATACAGGCTTTTATTTCTAACCTTGTTGATTAAAACATACATAAAAGCATTCTATTGAGAAATAAGATAGGTAGCAACAGGGATAACATCCCTCCTCATAACCACCCTTAACAGATAACCTTTCCTCCATCTTTTTAGAAGCAAGCCCCCTCATGCGAGTCCCCGGTGTCTACACCTGTAACTTCCACACCATCACCTGACCCTTCAGACCCCCACACCAACACAGATGGCGGGCTGTACCCACCCTCACCCCCACCTCCTCCCAAGGCCACCCCGCCCAGCCTCTGCCCCAGCATCCCCTTCTCACTCTCTTCCATCCCTAGAAAGCCCTTCCTTGACACTGGCTCCTTCAGTGTGACGGCCACCCTTCTCGCTACGTTCCTGGGAGGTCTCACCCAGGGTCCACCTAATGCTCTCACACCTCCATGGACCCAGTGCCCGACGCACACAATACTCAGACTGTGTGTGGACACTCCTGCCATGAACAAGAGCCGCCTCCTGCCTAGCCTGGCCTTGGACTCTGCCCTCCAGCAGGGCAGCTGCCTGCTTCCCACAGGAGTCACCTGGGTCTTGCCCTGGTGCCTGCTTTCCTGCGGCCCCATCTGGACAGCATTCCTGGAGCACCTGCTCCCACCAAGCTCTCCTGCTGTACTCGCCCCCTGTGCAAGCACTAGCAGGCGGGTATCTGTTTCCCTCACCAGGCTGCTCCCCCAGGGCCTCGCAGAAAGCCAGGCATGTAGGAAGTGTTCAATAATGTTCTGAAATAAACCAAATGACAGCCTCGCCTTCTCCAGATCTCCTCAAGTGATTACAGGGACTAAATCTAAGTTAGTAAATTTAAGGTCTCAACTTCCTGAACTTACTTGAAGAATTCAGTTTTCTCCTCTTCACTCTTCAATGTTAAGCTTTTCAAGAAATTTACAACTTCTAGAAAATCATTTCTAAATGCCAAAAAGAAAAAATAATGTAGTTCAATATTAGAGTAGGCATGTTAAGTATTGAAGCCATAACCAAAGACTGCACCATTTTAAGAACATGAGAGATCTGTAAAGAGGATATAAACGATACAAACGCACATATGCTAACAGGCTTAATGGTCTTAAAAGTCACAATCATCCCCCAAGTTTTTTTCTAACAGGATATTGTTAAATGAAATGTCCTTAAGAAATGACATTATCATTACAAAATATGTGTTGATTCCCAATTCTCCTCTGATGAAGTAAAACCATGAAAGAGGACTGACTGGGAAAAGTGGGATTTCTGTAAAAGTCAGGAAGCTTTTCGTTTTTCTTGCTATAAGTTAGTCTTTTTTTTTTTTTTTTTGGTAAGGCAGGGTCAATTTCTTATGTAGTTTCCAGAGCCCCAAAGCTATGGACCCTGGGCTCCAAGGAAGTGTTGCTCACATCTGCCCTGTGGACAGTGGCCCAGGGCTTGAGCACAGCAGGCAGAGCAGGCCTGGTGGGCACAACTGCCAGGGGCCTCCAGATCTGGCTTCCTCATACACTTGACTTCAAACAGCCCAGGGTTAGGGCATCACCCCCAGGCAGCTGACAGCCCACATATAACTCCTGATTTCCCCCAAACTGAACTACTAATAGCCCACTATTCACCAAAAGCCTTAGTGATAGCATAAATAACATATATTTTCTACATCATAAGTATTGTACATGGTGAAAACACGTAAGAACGTTGAGATCACCTTTACTATAGTACGCAATTTGGTAGAGATGAACTGCTCATATGGAGGTCAATCTCACAAGTCACTTCAGGCAGGTGAACCTCACTGGCTCACTGCAACAGCACAAGGAGGTGACATGCAGTCGTTGGAGGGACGTATGTCCTGTGGTTGGTTTCATGATTTAACGCTGCATCTTTTTAGCTGCTTACATCTCAACCTCAAGTGGCACCATTATATGGTCTGTGTGGAGGTTTCGACACATTTCAACTCTTATCACAGATTTGTGTGTGCTTCATGGTAGTAAAAGACAACAGATTACCTAAGTGTATTATACTCATTATGACACACCTCTTTCTTGATTTTTTTTCAACATTTCTAGGCTAAAATTCACCTGTAAAGTTTTTTTTCACACTGTCAAAACTTTCTGCCCTGCAAACAGAGAACCCACGTGTAAGGAGATCACAGCCTTGCAAACACACGTGTCCGAGGGCCAACTGTTTTTACTCCAGCTCCTGAGCAGGGCACTCAAATGTCTCAACCAAATCCAAGAACCATGCCACCCGTCAGGCGGGGCAAGACCCTGCCTCCCGACAGACCTCCCCACTCTGGGCACGGGGCTGGTTTCTTGGCTTTCTTCTCCCTCGCTAACAGGCAATTTTAAATAAAGAACTCATATTACACACAGTGATGGGAGACTCTGTTTAATGTGAAGGGTTATTCTTTGTAAGGACTTTAATATCAAAGGAAATAAAGAATTCCTAATAATCATTAAATACTAATAATAATCATTAAATAATAATCATGGAAATACTGTGGCTAAAAGACTCATAAAGGTGAATATATACCTCTTGTATTTCTCAATTTAAAAAAATGAAAAAAAAAAAACAACAACTCAATGGTAAAGGTTTTGAACAGTGTCTCTGAAACAGGACAAAGAATCCCAATAACCACACATACACTTGTTTACTAGTGTTCTACTCCCTAGTACTACCTAGGGTAACTCTCCCCCTCCCCCTGCTTCTCCCCACCTCCCTAACTGCAAACACAAAAGGATACTTAAGTCTCAAAACCAACAAAGTTAGCTTTGCTAATAAAAGCTATGAGCATGGAACTAACTTGGTAAGTTCTGCAGTCTTGGAAATAAAAAATGAAGGACATACAATTAAAACAAACCTTGAAGAGAAGTTCAAAAACACCTCTGAATCCAGAAAACGATTAAGTTACATTGTACTCCTCCCTCTAAACGAACTTGCTTGTTCTTCCACACATATTACTGAAGAGAGAAATCTCCTGCCTAAAGAAAAATGAACTCACACGCCTCCCAATAAGAAAAATTCAAAATAACCGATTCTCATCAGTCATGCGATGGCAGCAGAACAGGGAGGCCAGTCTGTTAACTGCTTCAGTCGGCTTGGAGCTGGGAGCCGCCGGACCCAGGCCGGCTTCTTCATGACCAAGCCTGAGGAAGCGGGAGGACTTCCGAACCCCAACCTCCGTGGCAACCAAGAATTTCTAAACTTCCCGTCCTTGATGGGAACCTGACGGATCCAACGTCTCCCTCTTTTCTCCCGTGAACACCAGTCAGCCTCCTGATAATCAGCAGCACCAGGGACTGCTTCCTCTGGTCCCCCCGGCCCCCAGCCACGGCAGCAGTGGAACACGCCGAGGCCCTCACCTGAAGAAGTCGTGGGTCAGTAAGGTGCAGAGCGCCGGCCGGCACTGAGGGATGGGATGCAGCACAGTTGAGAGCAAGGTCTGCTGGAAGCTGGAGAGCACGTCCGCTGAAACTGAAATCCAGAGCGACAGTTAGTCCAGCTTTCGCCCTCCTCAGGGCCTCTACGGCTGCAGACTGGTGAGACCAAAGCCACCTGTAAAAGCCCAGACAAACAGAGCCCGGCTGTCGCTGAACCGCTTCCTGCTCGCTTCAAGCCCAGGTCGTGGCACGTGGAGAGCCAGCCTGCCAACACAGCCAAGCCAGGCCAAGTGCCTCCCCTCCCAAGCCTCCCATTTCCTGGCTGTTCCACTCAGGTCCAGGAAGTGAGTAAGTAGCAGGTGGGAGGGGGCTTTCTCAACCAGGGTTCCTCATCCACAGGACACAACTATCTGAATGACTATTTTCAATTCTTCCAACGATGGCACACAACTGTCCCCATGCTAGGGGCATGGGAGAGTAGTTAGTTCCCTGAACACAGTGGATGCCTTGTTGTTCAAGTATTCAGACGAGGACGATTTAGAGCTAAGAGGTGACATCCAAAGCCTAGCAGAAGAAGTGACATCAGCACTGCAGAAGGCTTGGCAAGTGACACCGAGGCCAGTAAGGGGCCCCGCATGGCATGCACCTCTGTAAACTCGCTGGAGAGTGACGCAGGCCGCCGAGCATGCCGTGAGAGAATGGAGACAGACAACAGAAAACCAAGCCTTTAATAGCCTGGGCCTCAGGAGGCCATCAAAGGAAAGAGCAGTGGGCAAATTACAGCAAGAAAAAATAAACCAAAAAATTCTTGAAAGACCAAAAAATGTTAAGCCTGACAAGAAAATATTTTTGAGTCTTACTCTATTATTCAGACTACTATATCTTAATCATTATGGCATTTATTTACTTATTGGCTGGCTCACTAAGGAACAGTCTTTAGACCATAAAATATTATTATCAATAAGGTTATCACAGGAGACTGAAAGGTATAGTTCAAAGTGCTTCCTACTTAAAATTCTTTTCACTACTGATACTAATGAAATGCAAAGCTTGTTTCCTTATTGCTGTTGATACTTGCTCTAAACAAATTACATGGTAAGCAACAGGTCCCTTACTATGATCAAAGACTGAAGTCCCTTGAGTTCTACGCTGGGCAGGCCTGCATTACTTTCTTACTTAGTCAGTGGACGCAGTATTCACTCCAACTCACCCTGTCCACGTAAGACTGTGAGCAAGCCTTCCACCAGTGTTCCAAACGAGTAGGCATCCCGGGCATGTCCGTGGGACTCCGGGAGAGAGCTGAACTCTGGAGACTAGAAGCAATAAATACTTTTAAAACTAGAGCATTATAAACAATTCCTAACTCTCTCCCATGTTAGCATTTATTAGACTCAAATCTAACTTCACAGTACCACACACTCAGTTATAGCTTTCAAAACTATTAGTATACCATATAAAAAATGTTGATCATCTGTAGCAATCAGGGAAATGCAATCAAAACTACACTGACATTTTATCTCACTCCAGAAGTCATCAAGAATACCAACAATAAACTAGGCACAGGGGCACACACCTATAATCCCAGCAAGGGGAGGGTGCAGGGGGTACTGAGGAGTGAAACTGATCAAGTAATGTGGTCATGTAGGTGTGAATATGCCACAATGAAACACGCCATTCTGTGTAAGTGAGATGTACCAATAAAAAAAAGCAGGACTTAATACTGGAAAAAAAAATTTTAAAAATGATTAGCAAATGAAATTTATCAAAGATTTTTAAAATATGAAATAGGATCAAAAAGAAAATAAAAAGATCACAACATAATACATGTTTGTGGCTTTCAAAAACATATTTAAAAGTCAATCTTACAATACAGTGTGCAGACATAACACAGTATGCATATAAACACACACATAATGAAAACGAGTTTCACAAAACAATACTAAGATGCCTAGTAATGATTTCTTTCACTCTATTTTCTAATTTTTTCAAAATACTGTCCAAGACACCCTTAAACTATCTTAAAACCCACAAATCACCAGTTTGAAAAACACCAGTGTATGCCATGAATAAACCTGATTTAAGTCTAAGGTCCATATTAAGTTTATACTTGGTTTGTATTTTCTATAAAGCACACTAAACATGTCTTTAGGGATTAATGTCATTTATAGTGGTTATAAGAACAAACTTACAGAGGGCATCTGCTTTTGAATTTATCTGTGAATAGAATCTTTCTTCACCAGAAACAGGGTATTAATAACCACTCTGTACACATCCTGGAATCCCAAGCAAGGGCCAGCGAGACAGACGGAGGCAAAGACAGGGGTGATGCAAAGGAAAGGGCTAGCCTGACCTCACGGCTTATGTCAAGTACAAAACCAGTGTGCTTTGGATGTGACATCCCCTGTTCACACTGGGGGCACTCCATCTCTAAACAATAGCACAGGACCTATACAGCCAAAAACTGTAAGCTGGCTCCCTGGCTGTGGTAGTAAGATTAATCCTAGAAGCTCAAGGCTAGAGGAATCACGAGGCATCCATAATTTAATAAAGGCCTGGGAGAAGTTTCCCACTCAGCTGCACAAGTGGGCCTTCATCACGTCCGACGCATATCATCTTACCATCTCTTCAGGAGGGATAGACGCTGGGTCTCTGACTGCCTGAATACTCCTCAGAAACTAGACAGAAAAATAAATCAAGAAAAGCAGTTCTTACGCATTTGGCAAAGCAACCTTTTAAACCTATTAATAAAAGCCATGAGCAATAGAAACAGCAGCAATGAAACCTTTCCATCAATGTCACATATCCAATATGCAAATTTAAAATCTTCCTGATTAAAAAATGTAAACCAGTACTTGGCACGGAGCAATTCTTAGTGAACATAAAAGTCAGTCCTCTTTCCCTGCCTTCCAGCTGGTTCACACACACCCCATGCTGCTGAGAGGCATCTGTGCATCTGATTTCCTTATACAGAAATTAGAAATACTTCTTTCTCTTCCCGCATAGACATTAAGAAGTAAAAGGCTCTTCAGCTGTTGGTGACAGTGTGCACCTGTAGTCCCACTACTCAGGAAGCTGGGAAGAGCACTGCCTGAGTCCATAAGTTTGAGGCCAGACTGGGTAACACAGTAAGACCCCATTTAAAAAAAAAAAAAAAAGGCACAGGATACATCGCTTATCAATCTTGTCTTTTTCACTAAATCAGGTGGAAGTCTTGTTGCAGATGAAACTTTATAAGCTATGGAAACAAAACTAACATCTATAGAATGAGCATATTTATTCACCTAATCAAAGAAGGGCTTTTATCCAATAAACATCATCTAAGGCACTAGGAATACAAAGGACAGCCACAAATTCCCTGCCCCCAACCCCATGCTCACAGCCTAGAAGGTACATCAGGGATTTCAGTAAGTGAAGCACAGGATTTTTGTAGGGTAGGACAACGCCCGGAGGAAGGATTCACAGAGAGGAGACTCAAGCGAGATCTTGGATGAGCTGGCACTTTTCAGGGAGTTCAGGGGAAGAAAGGCAGCCTGGTAACAGAATGGCAGAACAAGCAAGAAGAGAGTGAGGCGAACAGCCAGTGCAGCAGCCCGGCTTCGTGACAGAGTGCGAGCAGAGCAGGAGCACTCCAAGTGCTGCTTGGAGCTGAGGCGGGCTACGAAGACCGTGGAGGGCCTGTGCACCACCCCAAGAAGCTCCTTCTGTGGGACGAACCCACAGGACCGTGTGCTGCCTGCCATGCTAACTACAGGAGGGAGACTTTAGAGAAGGCAGCCATCACCAAGAGGGATGACTCAGGTAGTACTGCATTTGACTGATCAAGAGTCCAGGAAGGTGCCCACCAGACAGCTGAGCACCAGACAGCACGCAGGAAAACGCTGAAAGCTAGACTGAGCCACCATGTCAGTAGGGGGATTGGGATGGGAGTGGTTTTCACTTTTTATAGACAGAGTAAGTCCATCAGAAACATGCAAATGGTGAAAAGAAGAAGTAAAACAGAAAAACAGTCCAGTTCTAAAAAGAACCGCAGGTGGATCTGTCCGATAAAACCACAGGCTATACCCCAGGAGCAGCAGCCCAGCCGCCAGGAGTGAAGATGCACAAGTCCCAACTCTAGTCGCTGGACACAGCATATGTTCAAGGAGCACCCCTGAATGCCTAACTCGAGACAGGCACTCGGCCAGGTGCAGGTAGAAAGGTAAGGTCAGAGGAGCTACCCTCAGGAGGCTCAGCTGCTGGGCAGAATCAGACACACAGAGGCAATTTAAACATGAAGCAGTGAATGGCGTGATCAAAGGAAGTGCTGCACTGCAGCTCAGGAGCAGAAAGGCAGGCGGTTAATTACAACATCTGAACAAAACCATTTCACCTCCCTCATTCTCAGGTTCCTCATCTATAACACGAGAAGAGAACATGACCCCTAGTGCTTCCTACAACTCCATGAACATGGGCATCCACAAAGTTCAAGTCTCCAGACCAGCGTGGCACTGACCCTGGGGGGCAGTGCGAGGGCAAGAGCACACAGAGGATGCCACCAGTGCTCAGGGGAAAGAGGCCTATCACCTGGCTTACCTCGGGAGTGGCCTGAGGAACTTTACACACAGTTTCCATTCCTCCTAGCTTCCAGTGCCCATCTTCACTCACAAACACAGATGATAAGCAGACATTGTTGTGTGTGAGGTGTCCCTGGAAAAAAAAGAACAGGAAGAAGACTGCCACTCCAACTTTGAAGAAGAAGTCTTTAAAAAAACTACTAGTTACCAAAAAAAGATTATGACAAGATCTTCCCACTTGTGGGCTGATATCGGAAACTACCAAGGGAATGAGGTCAGAAGAAGCGGAGAGTGCCCTGGGGAGCTCCTGGCCCCTCCCTGCCTGCTGAGCAGGAGAAGACACCCAGCCAGCACAGGCCAGTCACGCCCCACCTGGAAATAGGGACCCAGGTGTCCCTAACACGAATCCACCAGTCCTGTGGCCTAGCTCACTTGCACCAGTGCCTTTAAAGATAAAATTTATCTTTGCCCTCATAGGTTATTTTATTCATTTTCTGCTCTAAATTCTTTCTTACCTACATTCTATCATGAACCCAGATCCACTTCACCTGAAATCTTATCGGTAAGCATTAAAAAAATTCTGCCTGAAGAAGAAGAAAAGGGAATGAGAAGGACCAGCAGAAATGCCCCACAGACCACAGAAGAGTCGATTTTAAAACTATAAAAAATAGTTCAAATAAGAGAAAAGGAGAAAGTGAGAACAAGGTTTGAGTATTTAAGAATTTTCCCAACCAGAAATCATTTCAGTAGATGGAAAAGCTCTTTAAATTTTCTACCCATGAGATCAAATTTGTACATATTTTTATACAGAACACTCTAAAATATATATAAAGAAAAGTTTAGAATAGTATATATGGTATTTTCATTTGAGGAAAAATAAATAAGCATAAAGATAGTTGCTTTATATGCCCAAAGAATATCTCTGCAATAATACACAAATCACCATAGTAGCTTCTGGAGAGAATTCGCTGAAGGACCAAAGAGGGACTCTCCCTACAGGCAGTCCTACTATCAGCACGCCTTGTTCCAATAAAGATGTTCCTCCCCAGAGAAGCTTAACAATGTTAGTTATCATATGAACTTGTAAACATGCTTTTAAGACGTTATACATCCCACATAATATTTGGAGAGTCTGTCTTCCATATAGAAAAAAAATGAAAGCATGCATTGAAATGAGTCTTACGCAAATGTCTCTAACCTAAGACTGGTGTTTTTTCATTAAGGAGAACTGCTGAAGATCTGAATGTGTCAGAATGCAAACATCATTAAGGAATTATAGCTCTAGGGCTGGGAAGATGGTTCAATGAGAGCACTTGCCCAGCATGTATGAGATGAAAACAAACAAACAAGAAATAGTAGCTCGATAAAATTGTCAAGACATAGATCAGAAATAAACATAGGAACCATAATAATAGTAAACGTTACCACAGGCCAGGTAGCCTGGCTACTCCAGTATTCAGAGGCTGTCTCTCAACTGGTCCCACCCAAGTGGGATAGGATGTGTCTAAACTCTGCCTCTAAGAAATGGTCATTTCTTCAAATTTTAAAATTGCACAAAATTCCTAAAAACAAATAGGAATTGTGGTCTACAGCAACACTAATATTAACTTTTTGTTTTAACAAGCATCAACTGAGCCAGGCATGGTGGCACACAACTCAAATCCCAGCAACTAAAGAGGCTGAGGCAGGAGGACTGAAGGTTCAAGGCCAGCCTCAGCAACTTAGCAAGACCTGTTTCAAAATCAAAAGGTCTGGGGATGTTCCTCAGTTTCAGAGCACCCCTGCGTTCAATCCCTGGTACCAATGAAAACAAAACACAACCAGGAACCAGCTGAGGCTGTTTTCAGGTAAAAACTTGTCCAAAACTAGGGGGAGACCACGGTAACCTCAAAATAAAATTGTACCAATAACTGCCCAAGGACAGAATGTGCTGCCCATTGCACAGATACCTGGAGCGTCTCCATCTTGCCCTTTCAACGTGTTCTTTGTCTTACAACTTCCACATATACCATGCCTTACAGCACTACTACACACTCATCCCCCAGGCTCCGTCAAAGCCCCTGAGCTGGACTGTACAGGTCACTTACTCTGTCATGAAGGAAGATGAGAGCCAGCAGAATGTCATAGATCCCAGAACAAATCTCTGCAGAAGACAGCCTTTCCAAGGCCACTTCCAGAGGCTGCACTCTCTCAGTGACCAGATGAATGCCATCTGCTTCCACAGTACATGACAGGAATCTCAGCAGGCAGGGGTGACGCAGTGTCTTCAAGTGCTGTAAAACGTAAACAGAAGAGCTGATGGAGCCGACGACTGGACCCAGAGCAGCCTCACGCACATGCGGGAAGAGGGAAGCCGCACACTCGCCCCTGCAGGTCTCCCTAGCTCCTACCCTTCCCCATAGTTCCACCAAGACAAGGGGGATCTCAGACTGTTCTCATTCCATTCAACTTATCAACAGCTAAATCACCCCACAGACCTGCACTTCCCTTAGGGCAGTGCCCGCCCTCTGTGCCCAGCCTTCCCAGGAAGTACCGCGATACATTCCCAACACATTGCGGAACCCTCACAAGGCAACAGAGGGGCGAAAAGCCTGGAGGACAATGTGTGTGGGACCAGCTTCTGGTCTGGGAGCTCTGGCTCTTCTTGCCACTGTGCAGCAGAGGCAGGCATCCCCTGAAGGCGGCGTGACAGAGGTGACAAAGGCTCGGCCAGCAAAGTCCCACCATCCTTCTGGCCAGAAGAATCAAGAGAGGAATCCTGCAGGCTGGAGTGCCAGGAGGCTATCCCTGAACAATAGGCACAGAACAGAACCGAGGTGGTGCAGCAAAGTGCTGGGAAGAGAACTGAGATCTGAACTTGCATTCCCAGGAAGGGTGAGAGGGGCGTAGTTCAAAAACCCAAGGCCCAAACCTAAGGGGTTAACACCCTGCTGTATCAAATATACCTACATCCTCAGAGTGTCAAAACAGAGCCAAGAGTCTATGCAGCAAATTCAGGATGCAACCCAACATTTGTACCCAACATACAAAGGACTGTGGAAATGCCATGAATTTTTAAGGGAATGAGTGTTAATGAGCCTGAAGATATTAAACAATCTGAAGAACAGAGAAAAAAAAAAGTATCTTCTAAAAAATGATGAGAGCATTAGGAATAAAAAAGTCTAATGCAGATAATTTAACTTCCAAACGAGAGGAAAAATGAGTTGGAACATTAAAAAAATAGTGGCTGAAAACATAAATGTGGCCAGATACTTAATTTACAGAGTTAAGAAGTTCAGTGAAGACCATACGGTCTCTTAAAAACGTAAAAACCTCCTGAGCTCAAGTCTGCTGACCCCAGCTGGGCATGGTGGTGTACACCTATATTCCTAGCAACTCCTGAGGCTAAGGCAAGAGGACCACAAGTTTGAGGCTAGCCTCAGCAACCTAATGTCTCAAAATAAAAAACAAAAGGAGGAGCTGGGAATGTGAGTCAGTGGTTAAATGCCCGAGTTCAATCCCCAGCACCTAAAAAAAAAAAAAAGTTTGCAGACCTGCTATAGACCATTAACAAATGTGACTCTTTTACAAAACATTTTAATATTGTTCTCACCTTCTTATTTATCACCTATTTAATCCCCTTAAAATATTTAAAGTCTCTTTTAAATTTTTGATTTTTTTATTATACATAAAAGTGACTGCCATTTTTGTGTTCACACTCCTCACCAATAAATAATGTCAGTTAAGTACCTTATATATGTATACTAGTTTGTTGTTGCTGTTTATACTGAGGATTGAAGCCAAGGGCACTTTAGCCACATACCTAGTCCTTTTTGAGCTGCTGAGGCTGTCCTTGAGATCCTCCTGCCTCAGTCTCCCGAGTTTCTGGGATGGTAGGTTATGTGCCAACATGCCTGGTCTACATACTATGTATTTTTTTCATATTCTACATGAACTACATATACTGTAAAACACAAAAGACTTAGATATTCCCAGTGCTTTTTCTCCACAACTGCAATGTTGCACAATACCTCAAGCAGGAACCCCATTTTGAGAAGTCCTCAGTATGAGATCCTCCCCTCCCTCACCTCTTTCCTTAGCAGAGACAATGAACACACCTTCCTGACAAGCATAAGCCATTTCTGTTTCTGAACACAGGGGCTGGGTCAATTAAATCTGTAGGGTCTCTCCTTCTCTGGTTGGCCCTTTTACAGCCCCGTTGGGAAAATCCCTATGCATATTTTATGAGAATTACTTAATTAAAGAGTTCCCCAGTCTAATATTCTCACCCCAGGTAATAACTTATCATTTATTTACAGCAAAACATAAGCTGCTGAAATGCTATGACCTTCAAGCTCTGAGGTCTACCCTGTACTAGCCTCAGGTCACAGGGGGGAAATCTTGGAAGCCGGTCATTAAATTGGGAGGAGATGGAAAGGAGGATTTCACTGAGAGCATAACCTTCAATTTAACACTAGGTTTCATTTTCACAAATAAGTAGTTGATACTGAATGTTCTAAATACCTCCTTGAAAGGAGGACAGCATCAGAGTCCATAACCCAGCCTTGCTACAATTTTTCTATCAGTGGCTCAACCTATTATAAACTTCTTCCACAGAGGAATCTTCTGAGCATGTTGGATTCTCTAATATTTTAATTTTCATTTTATTCATTTATTTTATCTGGGGGGTACTGGGGATTGAACCCAAGGGAACTCAACTACTGAGCTATATCCCTGTCTTTTTTATTTTCTGTTTTGAGCCAGGGTCTCACTGTTGCTGAGGCTGGCTTCGAACTTGAGAAGCTCATGCCTCGCCTCCTGAGTTGCTGAGGTTAGAGGTATATGAGCCATTGTGTGCATTTAAAACAATTCACACATATGCAAAAAGAAGATAGTAGACATGCAGATAAGCCAAAATTGGTGCTAGCCAGTTGGTCAAATGAGTGTGGTTAGCTGAAGAGAACATCCTAAGAGTTATATTTGGAGCTAGTTTGTATGTAAAATCACACACTTAGCCACTGACTCACATTCCCAGCCATTTTGATTTTTTTATTTTGAGGCAGCGTCTCACTAAGTTGCTGAGGCTGGCTTTGAACTTGTGATCCTCCTGCCTCAGCCTCTCCAGCCACTGGCATGCACCACCATGCCCAGTCACCACATTTTCATTTTTTAAAAAATACTCTTGTTTTATTTATTTGTTTTGGTGGTGCTGAGAATTGAACCCAGGGCCTCGCATGTGCAAGGTGAGCGCTCCACCGCTGAGCCACAACCCCAGCCCCACATTTTCATTTTAAGAATCATTTCAAATAATTTTTAAACCAAACATGAAATATTTCCTTTTTGGCTGCTCAAGATAAATTCTTCATTCAGTTTTGTCTTAGAGCTCTGATCACTTTCTTTGATTTCAGGTCCCTTCTTTCGTTCTCCTTTTAGCACTCAGGATAGACTTGATAGACAGTAGGAGCCGCCTGGTTCAGTGTTAACAGGGAATAGTTAATAAGTGGCCACCTGATTTTCACTTTTGCTTCTGCTAATTTTTTTTTTTACCCTAAATACTCCAGAAAAATTCTTGCTCCAAAGTGAGTTTATAATAAAAGAAAAGAGGAAGAAATGACACACTGCATGATTCTGAACAAGACACTTAGCAAGAACCTCATCTGTCACTGCCCTTGAATACAGTCAATATTCTGCAAAACCATGCAGATTCACAGGAAGGACCAGCAGCTAATCAAATCACAATGTTTCTTGGGTTAATCTTCTGCTGCTTCTAAGAACAAGGGGAACAGGCTGCACCTGGGGAGGGCAACTTGGTTATTTTCTCAGTGACCCCAATTGAGCAAATCAATGGCTCTTGTTCTGGTGGAGGTAACTTGTTGAATGTCTTGAATGCATGTGCCCCAGAGTTAGGATTCCAGTTGGATTTATTCCCTGTTCCAGGCGCTCACCTCTAAAGCACACAGCTGAGCAAGGTCACTTACTAATGGATACAACTCCCAACATCTGTGCTATCTGTACTTACCTATGTCCATCCATTCAGAGCTCCTCAGTGTGAGAGTCTAGCCCTGAATATAAACTACTCCCGTTTTCAGGAATCACTAAAGACCCAACCATCTAGGAAATTAATTCAAGCCTTAGAGGCTTAACTTTCCACTGTTGTTCTGCTCTTGATTTGTTACATCATTTTGAGAACTACATAAAGTTAACTGACTCAATGTTCTTATCTATAGCTTACATCTACCTTCACACTTTAAAACAGGAAAAAAATCTACACTTTCACACCGTTAAATAAATACAACGAAACAGCTAAGATGACTAAACTGGAGAGTAATAATCTTTCAGAAAAAAATACTATTCCTTCTTCCCTAAAGATGCACATCTGGGACAAAGATGTAGAGAGAGTCTGTCTTTGTGTACCATGTCTGAAGGTTAGGTCATAAACTAGGAATAAAATTCAGGAAACATAAAAAATGGATAAAGAATTAGTCTGGGTAGAAATGTGGATGACTACAAGCGTCAGAGGAGAAACAGCAAGAAAGTCAGGTCTGGGAAGCATGGTGGGAACCAGGATATGGCTAATTCTGTCTGATGGCTGCATCATACCTAAGGAACAGGCAAATACGTCTTAAGTTCTGAATGGACACTGAGCAGGAGCCCTGTGAGAACACCAGGATCTGATCATGAGAGGGGAAGAGATACCCTCTGTAACTGTTAACTACATGGCAAGTTGGTTTACAATGAATTGGATGTTGTAAATAGTGTAAGAAAGGCCTATAAGGGAAAAGGGAAAGGGAGAGAAGGAGCCTGGATGTGAGGAAGAGACCACCTGCCCAACAGCAGACACAGCTGGTCACGCCCACACAGTGCAGGCTCTCCAATACTTCAACAAACCCTTCCACTATGCAGCCAGAGCCCTTCAGTGTCTCCCAGAACACCAAATCATGTACTTGGATGACAGCTACATACTTATGCCCAGATATGTGATTCCTGTATGAAGACTGAGGAGTTGTTTTTACAGCTTGTAATTACCACAAAGCCTTAACTAAGCACTTTGATTATAACAAACAATCGTAACCAAATTCTGACTGAGAATTTATCATTCTTAACAGGCTGTTAGAAATGAGTCATAATCACCAGTAAGCACTATTAATGACAGCTGAGGAATTCAAGACCAAATGAGATCTTACGGGCCTAAATATTTTCATATTGGTTTGTGACCAGAGCTCTACTTGCATTTCAGTTACATACACCCACAAACACACAGTTATATATTTATCTATTTATAACAGTTGACTATCTGTATCATTTTTTGAATTTATAATAGTAAAGAAAGAACAATACTACCCAATAATATTTGCCAAGGAAAACACTATCTGCTTAAAAGAGTCATCATAACTTTCAAAGGCAGGATGAAGAACTCAAAGACTGGTGAGAGTTGAGATAACTACACTGCTTCAAAATTTCAGATATCAAGGACATCACACTCCTAAAACCTAATATACTGACTGTTATATATGTCTCAAGTACTGTGACCTAGTTTGTGGGTAATCAGAAATAGAATTCTGACAATGTAAATTCCTTATCACTTTGTTGCCATTTCAAATTTCCGTGATTCAAGTTTGAGTTTCAAAGCTACAGAATGGCTGACACATTACGAGTAGATCTTTGGTTTTTTCCCTTCAAAAATTTTATGATCTGGGGCTAGGGTTGAGGGTCAGTGGTAGCACACTTGCCTGGCATGTGTGAGGCACTGGTTAGATTCTCAGCAGTGCATGTAAATAAAGAAAATAAAGATCTATAGAAAACTAAAAAATATATATTTAAAAAAAAAATTGATGTTCTGGTTTACTTGACTTTCAGGGTACATATGCCGGATATGATTTTTAAAAATCATATAGTCTGAAGGAAAAAACAAATATTATAAATTATAAATTCTAGTATCTGACTAGATATGATCAATTAAGCTATTTAAAAAAAAATTAAAAACAGCTGGGTGCTGTGGCACACACCTGTCATCCCAGCAACTCAGGAGGCTGAGGCAGGAGGAGGGCAAGTTCGAGTCAAGCCTGGGCAAACTAGTGAGATCCTGTTCCAAAACAAAAAAATAAAAAGGGCTGGGGATGTAGCTGAGTGACCGAGCACCCATGGGTTCAATTCCCAGTACTGGATTGGGGGACAGTGGGGGGGGGGGGAGGATAATCTTATTAGAAGAAAACACAAGAGGTATGTTAGACATTAACCAATTATTATCTTTTTAAATTGTCTCTTTTGCAAAATTACAATCAACAAATTATTAACAATTCTCAGATGGGATAGATAAAAGAGAAAAAAGTGGCTTTACCAAAAGGCAAAATTACCCAGCAAAAGAACTAGCTATACTTTTTTACCACATAATATTACAAGAAAATGTATTCTGGGCTAGGGGTGTAGCCCGGGGGTGGAGCACTTGCCTAGCCTGTGTGAGGCCCTGGGTTTAATCCCAGCATAGCATGCATGTGTGAATGAAGAAATGCACGAGTAAATGAGGGAATGAAAAGACTGTTACACATGTCTTTTTCCTAGGGAACTATCTTATAACTGTTCATTTCACACTTAACCTAAGACACAAAATCAAATAATTATTATGACCAATAAAATGCCAAAATTATATTACTAATACAACCTTTTATAACCATTAAAAAACTAAAAATTATTTAAAGAGCTATATAAAATAGGTATCCATGTTTCACATTAATTGATATCAAAAAGTGACTCACGGTATACTCCTGACATATTAAACACTCAAGAATTAATTAAAGAATACCACTGTATTTTTTCTTTTATAAACTTCTAAAGATAAAATTAAGTCTGCCAAAGGGCAAGGAAATATCAACTAACATCTTTCTTTTCTCTAATTATGAAAGACTTGAGATTATTTTATTTCATTAAATGATATTCCAATCTAAGGTAGAATTGTTTCTTATATCTCTTTTTCTTCTTTTTTTGGTGGTACTGGAGATTGAACCCAGAGCCTTGAGCATGTGAGGCAAGTCCTCTACCTCTGAGCTACAACCCCAGCCCTAGAACTATTTCCTGTAAGACGTGAGGGCCCCTGACAGTGCTCAGACAGCATGCCAGCGCACTGGCCCCTCAGCCGGGAGCAGCTCTGACTAGGTATAAACAAGAACCTTCTTCCTAAGGAGGAAACTAAAGCCTCCAGAGTTAGCAACCTGTCCAAGGTCCCTCAGCAAGAACTAGAGCCAAGGGCCAACATTCTTTCTGTTCAACACACCAGTGTAAAACTCTTCTCTGGGACATCACAATGTCTCAGGAAAAGAAAAACATGACAAAGTTCCTAAAATATTTTATTTTCAAGCTCTTCATCAACAAACTAATTAATATGACAATGCTTACAGCATTTTTGCTAAACTAGATTAATTCCCTCTTAGATAAGCCATGAAAAATCATTTTCTTTTCTCATTAAAAAAATTAGCTATGATGACAGAAACCACTGCAAGGAGTTTTATGAGGTTTGGGTTCAGTTATGGCATCTGTTGGAAATAAACCCACAAAATAAGGATAACTATGTTGATACAGACCATCAATGATATTATTCCTTATGCCTTACCTCCTTTGATCTCTATTAATTTCATTTTTAAAAAACAGAACACAAGATAGTAAAAAGCACTAACTATCAAGCCATCACCTATTAAGGTACCTTGGCAGCTTTATTAACTTTGTCTTCATTTTCTCTTTTATATACAAAAACTGAAGCAAATTTGCCATCTTGCAGCACAGCAGGATAAACAGCAAGTCCAGAGGGCAAAGTAAATGGTGGCTCTTTCAGCGTATAGCTCTTTAAAGCACTGTTCTCTGATCCCATCCCTTAGGCAGCAAGGCCGTTCTGCAGCTCCTCTTCAAAGCCAAAGGGATCTAAAAGAAGACAAAACAATGGCAAATATGAATTCTATCTGCAATGGGAGCAGAGCTGTTCAAGGTCTCCAGAAACAGCCAAACTGTTTCTGCAACCTTGTAACTAGCACATTTGACAACAGAAATGGTTAACTGCTCAGCAAGTTAACAACAATGCTTGTTAATGAACACCGAACAAATCCAGAGAAAATGTACATCACCTATCAGTTACATGCAATTATCATACTCACCCAAACCCCCCATCATACAGGAACTTTCAGTTAGTTAGGAAAGCAACCAAAAAATAAAACAAGGTAACTCATATTTCTAATCAACTTACAATCCTGCCTCACAAAGGAAATGTTGTAAAACTTGGTTATTCAAAAACAATAGAACTTCTGTATGTCTAATATGTAACTATAAAGGAAAACAAAATACAAAGCATTAACAGTACGTCATAGAAACAAGGAAAAGATTAAAAGAGCAGTAGAATAATGGGAAAGAAAACATAACTCATTGAAGAAACACAAATTACAATAAAGAAAAAGTACAGTCTCACAACTCTTTAAAGTTATGCTTAAAAAAAGGAGAAATGGCAAAATATATAATCACAAAAGCTAAAACACACACACATAAAATTCTTGAAAATGCAAACTGCTTCATCACAGAAAACAGGTAAGTGGTTGCCTAGAGAGGGGTCACAGAGGAACAAAGGTGTGTGAGGAAACTTGTGGGGGGTAGATATATTCAGTATTTTGATTATAAACATACCAAAGGGTGATGACAAATGTCAAAACTTCTAAAATCTTGTTATGTTCAGTCTCTTCTATATGATTATACTTCAATACAATTTCTTTAAAATACATACATACATACATAAACACAAGAGACCTCCCAAATCTTCTATAATATGAACATGTCATTCTTTACATCAGAGATACAAATTCACAGTTGCAAGAGGTACCAGGAGTGCAGCAGGGATGGTGGAGCAGCAAAGGGCCTACTATGAGCGCACTGGCAACTACTGTGAGAAGTTGGCATTCTGAAGGCAATAGCTTTCACAAAGCTCAGCTCAACCACTTATGATGAGAAACTGAGAATCAGATATTTTGAGGGGAATTTCAATATTATTCAATGTTGCTCAAAAAATAAATTTTTTTTAAACCTGTGTAGGCCAAACAACAAATGTCTGGAATATTTGTGAAATCAGTTTTTAGTTCTGGCTTTACCATAATACGAAAAAATTTAAAAATAAAAGAATTCTAATTCTAGTCATGTGGCAAGCAAATTGCTAGTTCTAAATAGCACAGCCAAAAATTCCACATAGATTGTAAATATTTCTGTTAAAAATCTATAATTTGGGGGAACATGTAAACCAAATAATGATTATACATAGACTCTACCTGGATTTTTTTCTACCTTGCTGAGGTTCATCCAACAATTTCTAAGTTATCCATGTAATGCTCTCAACACATATCGACCACAGAACCTGAAGTACATACACCATTATATAAGAATCACAGTAAGTACAAGGACTAAACCTATCTAAATTAAACATTCAAAATCCAAGCATGTTTCTGAATGTCAGAACTAATTCTGCTTTGTAATAAATCCACTGTGTTCCTACCCACCTAACAACTTATCCTAAGAACAAGAAGTAAAAACAATGCTAAAAATGCCATACCTCAACCGCAGGCGACAGTCACCTGTCTACTTGGATGACAGGTACTAGAGAGAAGTGAGGTGAATTCTGCTATTACGGAAATGTGGGGGTGCTGCTCAGGTGTGACCACCTCCTGCAGAATAGGGAAGCTGAGCTGGACACTAGGTTCTTGCACCCTCCCCTTTTCTGGGCACAGTTAATGGGTCCAGTGGCAACTATGGGCCAAAGGGCAGTCAAGTCATAGATGAGCCTTCTGTAGGACCCAGGCCTGAATGAAGAGATGAAGTGGTCAGATCACTATCTCCCCCAAGAACCTGAACTTAAAGAGAGCTTTCTATCTAAGAGTAGCATAGCTAAAGGTGAAGGATGCCATGAGGTGGGCTGGGACTGGGGCAAGCCAAGGCCACCTGAAAGCAGAAACTTGGCAAGGACAGAAGTAGGTGGTTGGCAGCAGGACTACAAAAACTGGGAGAAGAGCATGGTCATGTTTTAGGGGCACTTAGCATACTCCAGCTCAAGGCTACAGGACCCCAGTTTCAAGTTCACTTCCCTCACTGCCTAACTGATACCCTACAATCAGCTCCATTCCCTCAAGTAGCCCACGTGGGTCCAGGTTCTTTGAAACCAACTGCCATTTCATAAGAAGAAAACTCTACTTCTCTTTAAAATGCTGCCTGAAAAACTAATTAAACTAGAGGAAGGTTACAGAAGTGCCACTTTGAAACTGTTTATCTGAAGCAAACATAATTGCCTTCTCTCCAGCCAAAAAATTTAGCTTTTCAACCTCAATACACAATAAAGGAAAAACTGAGAATAAGGAACTGCAAGTAAATCAATGTCCTCTTGGCAGAAAATCATGCTGTTTAATATTAGTCCCTAAAGAGATAGGATGATTACCACGATTCAGGGCTTTACACTTCACTTATTAAACCTTGATTTAATACCATGAATACCACTATAATTGATTAAAATTATGAAAGTGTTAAAGAAGAGATTAAAACCAGCAATTTTTTATAGCCATGTGTTTTAGGTCCAAGACCCTAAGAAACATCACTTGCAAGTTAAAAGAGGGTGCACTAATTTCTCGAGGAACTTGAGAGAAAATCTGCCATTTTACTTTTCTGAAAGCATGGGTAATAATGACAAATACCATCAGTGTCAGACGGACAGTGTAGTAGTTAAAGCCTACATACAGTTCAAACCGACCACTGCTATCTGAGAATGGCTTGAAGAAGTAATTCTAACTCTTGAAACGACTTGTCCAAAGAGGCACAGCACAGGTACTACTACTATAAATACCTTTAAAAATAACTCGGCTAAAATCAACTTACTGAAAGTAAGATATATAACACGTAGATGATTTTTTTCTTGTTTGCAGGAAAAACACAAAATACTGCCTGTAAGCTTTGAGATTATAAGACATGAGAAGGTAGAAAAGGATAGCCTAACACCACATGACAGATATTTTGCAAAATTTGTCATCTCCACTCTGCGCTGAAAGGTGGGGTCTCCGGTCTCACTTGCCCCTCCGTCATCTTCCCAGTGAAGCCCTGCGTGCCCGTCTTCCTCCTCTGGCTGGCTGGGCCGGCACTCAGGTTTCCGGGTGGCCACCTGTGGATCGGGGAAGCCCTCCTCCAGGTCACTGGGCAGCTCCTACACCCCACCAAGAAACCGGCTTCCCCCGGGGAACGTTTCTCTCCAGGTCCTTGCCAGCAACTAACCGAGGTTACCAGGTCCCAGAGGCTGGAGCTTAAAGGTGGCAATGGCAATGGCTCGCAGCGAGTGCCCGGGCACCGCGGCCCCCGCCTCCGGGCCGGCCTCGCCGGACCTGTTGCCAGCGCGCTCCCGGCACCCACACGCCATTAGCGCCCAGTTCGGGGGGCCCAGGGCCAGCCTCGGCCGGAGCGCCCAGGCGGAGGCGCAGGCGGGCCTCACACCCGCGGGACGCGGCTCCGGGGACCGGCGGCGCCACCTCCTCACCTCGGGAAGCCTCGACTCCGCCCCAGCACGGAGCCGCTGCCGCCGCCGCCCGGGCTCGGTCCCGGCCTGCCCTCCGCGCCGCGCCCCGGCGACGGCAGCCCCACCCGGCCAGGCTCCCGCTTACCTGCGGAGGCCGGCGGGGAGGAGGCGCCCGGCCCCGGCTCCGACCCTTCGCTGCTGCCGACACCAACCGCCCTCGCTCCCCGTGCGGCCGCGGCCCCCACGCCACAGCCTTCCGGGGTTGGGTCTCTCGGACACCACAGAGACGGGCCCGGAAACGGCCCGAATGCCAGCCTTCGCCCCCACCGACGCCACCACTGAGGCGAACGAACCCGGAACCGAGGTAGAGCGCCGCACAGGTGACTCTCAGGCCGCTGCCATCTTGAGTGTGGGCGCCAGGACGGCCCTACGTTTCCATCACGGCCCTCCGCAGCTAAGTTGGTTATGTCACGTGGAGAGATCACCTCTATCACGTTTCGGATTGAATGGGCGTTTGTCTTGATTTAAAATTTCAGTTTCTTCACCGTACACTTTTAATTTCTTTTCCGCCCGAACCCAAAATGGCCACCGGTGGCCTCCAACAGATCCAGTAGCGAGGGGCGGGGCGGAGAAAAGGAGCGTGGAGCGGGGCGGGAACCTTCGGAAGGCGACGCCCCGCCCCGCGCCACCGATTGGCTGTGCTACGCGGGCCAATCGCTTTCGCGGACCGCGCGGAGGCTGTCAGAGGTCCCGGGACCTGCAGATCGGAGACTGACAGACCAGGGTCGCGGGGCTTCGGAAAGGAGACCCGAGAGAAGCGGTAGTGCTGTTCCTGACGTTGGCGGTGCCTGCTTAGGGTGTTAGGAGAACGAAGTGGGCTTACGTAGAGGTTGTGAAACTGCGTGGCACCAGGCCACCGAACGTCTTCACGGTGCCCAGTGGCGGTCGGCGCGGCTACGGCTTGGCGGCCCGGCCCGAGTTATTTCTAGTGTAGGACTTTCACGTCCCCGCTGGCCGGTAGCAGTAGCTGGAAAGATTTGCGATGGATAAGAAAGGACTGCATCTACTGTAATTCATTTCTCTCCTTGTTTATTTTCCAATTCCCCTCACAACCTCTTATATGTAATTTTGTATAAGAATGAGGGTCTCTCTCCATTTCCATGCAATTCTGGGATAGAAAGAGAAGATGGGAGGGGAGGGGAGGGGGGATAGTAGAGGATGGGAAAAGTAGCAGAATACAACAGTTACTAGTATGGCATTATGTAAAATGTGGATGTGTAACCGATGTGATTCTGCAATCTGTATTTGGGGTAAAAATGGGAGTTCATAACTCACTTGAAGCTAATGCATGAAATATGATATGTCAAGAGCTTTGTAAGGTTTTGAACAGCCAATAAAAAAAATTTTTTAATAAATAATAAAAAAAGAAAGGACTGCATGATGTCTTCAGATCAAAGGGAAACAAATAGCGAATTCTGTCCCCTGTCCAGAAGTAACCCTAAATAAGTACAGGGCTGGGGTGTGGCTCAGTGGCAGAGCTCCATTGGGTTCAGTTGCCTTTATCGAGATCCCATGCCAGTTTCCGAGTTTCAGCTGGGTGGTTTCTCCTTGTTTTATGAAGCTGGGGCATTCTAAGAAACTGAGGACTGCAAAGACCCCCTCTCCAAACCCCAATTCTTGCGATCAAAAGTCATAAGGATTTCAGATACGTCTCTCAGAGTAATAGGCATGAGTTTATTGAAGAGAGAGGAAAAGGGAAGGGGACACTCGAAAGGGAGAGGGTAAGACTGAAAGGGTAAAAGAAACTGAAGTTAAAATGTAAAGGACCAGGTATTGTAAAGCTTCTAAGCTGCAAAGCCTGAGTTAAAATGTAAAGGACCAGGTATTGTAAAGTTTCTGAACTGCACACAGAACCTGAAATTCCTGTAGCTGTTAAGACAATTCCCGGGACTGCCCATTAGATATGTGTAGGAATTCCTCCTGACCACTTAGTTGTTTAACAACTTGGGCCCAGTGCAGCTCAGCACATAGGCACCTCAGGGCCTAAACCAATCAGTTTGAATGTGTACCCCGCTTTAGGACTGACCTATCACCCCCGCCCGACCTGTTCCCGCCAATGAATGGACTAATCATGTTTGAGAGTTGTTGTTCAATTTTCCCGCGCCTCATGATGATTTGCTCTGATGTACACAAAGCCCCCGCCCTCCCCAAAAAGTGTACTTAAGCACTGCTTAACCCCTGCTCGGGGCTCTTGGTCGCTCTCCCTTCTTGAGTGAGCACAGAGCCCCAGTGCGCTGGATCTGCAATAAACCCCCTTTTGCTGTTGCATGAGTAGGTCTCTTGATGGTCTCTTCCTCCGTTGTTCGCTGGTCCCTTACAAGACCACTCAGAGAGGAGAGGGACAATGTGACTCTCCCACCCTCCAGTTTTATTGGGGGTCCCAAAGAAGTTTCAAAGTCCCACCAAAGTCTATCTCTTGACTTTTGACTGACAGCAGAGTGACATCAGACTTTTAAGTCCCCACTGTCATGCAATTCTAGGTCACTTGGCCCATGCTGACTGGTTATAATTGGATTCTTAACCATACATTCTTACAGAAGTTATAGTTAGGAGAAACTATGCTTATCTCCCAGAGTTCAGGATCTGTTACAAAAGTCTCCTCCTTCTGGGTAACCTAGGTTCCTCTTATCAAAATTATCATGGGCCTGCATTTCTCCCACAGAGAATAGGTAGTTTGCTGAGGAATATGATATTCCACTTAGGCTGGTCAGGGCTGAAGGTAAATTGCTTCTTAGTCAATGAAGCATGTAGGGGTCAGCACAGTGAGCCATTATAGAGAATTATTCTCTTAACCTCATGTTCCCACCATCCTTATCTGTCTGTTCCGTAAAACATAGGACTTCTGATAAATTCTTTAAACACATTTATTTATATTACTGGTTTCGGAGGTTCAGTGCATGATCAGCTGACTCCATAGATGGGGTTGAGGTGAGGCACTTCATGGTGGAGGGGTATGGAGGAGGAAGGCTGTTCAGACATGACAATCAGAAAGCAGAGGGAATGAAAATTCACTTTAACGTCCTTAAGACACTAATATTGACCTAAGAGATAGCTGAAGTGCTTATACTAGCTGTCCCTGAAGTACCGATTTCTGATGCAAACCTTCCAGGTGCCAGCACCCTTTGAAGTGTAAATTGCTTCTCAACTTCAAATCTTGCTCCAGAAAGGAGACAGATTTGGGGCAAACATCCTGTTCCATTGTTTGTATATCTCTTCTGAAATTCTTCAGCATTGAGAGAGATACACATGTATGGTAATTTAGAACTGTCCCTCAGGTCACCTGGAAGCTCGGGAAGGTGAAAAGCTGGGCCTTGTGCTGGGAGTTCAGTTTGAGAAGCACTCCCCCATGTGCTCTGGCACCCCTCTGCTTTGACCTCATTTCCTTTTCCTCCCCATCATTTGCCCTGGAACAGTGTCCACTTGTGCTTTGGAAGGAGCCCTTGCAGCTCTGCCACTGAGACTAATTTTAAAATAGACATGTTTCTTTCTCTTCCTCTCTCTCCCCCTCCCTAACTTTGGGGAAAACAGATTATCTTTCTTCCCCATCCTAGGCAGAGTGACCTGTCCTTGAGCACACACCCACTGCAGGAACCAAGTCAGACTCCACACAGTGTGGGGATTCTGGGCTTTGAATTGCCACTTCAAAACCCCCTGCTCCGGGTGATGGACAGACTCTCAGCCTCTGGGACAGGACTCCTTGTGTGTCTCCTTTGCTAGGAAAGCAACAAAACTTATTTTCCCTTTTCTTAAAACTATGTTCTTGTTATTAGATGAGCACCAGGGACAAGGGCCGAGCTCTGGATAATACCCAGCCAGGCATACTGGCCTCCTGAGGTCCCTTCAGCATGCCCAGCAAGCTCCTGCTCTGCTCTCCCCTTCCTTCTGGGTGCCACTACCTTTTCCTGGATACCAGCTTGGCTAAGTCTCTCACTTCCTTCCACTGTACATTATGCTCAAATCTCATCTTAAATGCTATCCATACTGACCTACCTGGTTGGCCTTTATCCCTTGTCTGGACACTCCTGATACCTCTTATTCTGTTAACTCTTGCAGATTTGCATATTTCCACAGCACTTACCATGTGTAACAGCCATATACTATCTTTTATAGGTTGAAAAAACTATTATTTTTTTCTTACTTTAGAGTAAGAAGTCTGAATATATTTTTACCATAAATAATGGCCCATACTGACCAATTTGCTTTTCTATTGTGCCACACACACACACACACACACACACACACATATATAGTTACTAGGGATTGAACCCAGAAGTCCTTAACCACTGAGCCACATCCTCCCTTCTGGTCAGTTCTAGTGTAAGGGTCCGGCGAAGCGTCGGAGGAAGAGACCACAAGAGACCAGCTTCATGTAACATGCATAAGGGGATTTTTAATGAAGAGAAGGATCTTAATTCAGCGCGCTGAGGCTCTAGGCTCACTCACGAAGGGAAAATAGCCCAGAGCCCAGAGCAAAGGCCAAGCAGAGCTTAAGTACACTTTTTGGGGAGGGTGGAGGGCTTCGCATACATCAGAACAAATCATCATGAGGCGCAGGAAAATTGCACAACAACTCTGAGACATGATTAGTACATTCATTGGCGGGAACAGGCTGGGCAGGGGTAATTGGTCACTTCTAAGTGGGGTACACATTCAAACTGATTGGTTTACGTCCTAAATAACTATGTGACAAACTACACAGAATCCCAGGTTATTAGACAACCAGGGAGTCAGTGGAAATATTTACTGGGCAGTTCCAGTATTGTCTTAACAGCTACAGGGATTACAGGTTTTGGGGGTAGCAGAGGAATTTTAACAATATCTAGTCTTTTACTGTTTAACCCAGGCCTTGCAGTTTATTTTTATTTTTTTAAATTTTTTTTTAAGAGAGAGTGAGAGAGGAAAGAGAGAGTGAGAGAGAATTTTTTTAATATTTATTTTTTAGTTCTCGGCGGACACAACATCTTTGTTTGTATGTGGTGCTGAGGATCGAACCCGGGCCGCACGCATGCCAGGCGAGCGCACTACCGCTTGAGCCACATCCCCAGCCCAGGCCTTGCAGTTTAGAAACTTTACAATGCCCGGTCTTTTACACTTTAACTCAAGCTTTGCGGCTTAGAATCAGCTTAGAAATTTTACCTTTACACTGGGTTCTCATATGTTGGTATTAGGACAATCTATTGCTGTCCCTTTTAAGATATGGTCAATATTGTGTTGATCCTATAGG